TTTGGGGAAATTGGAGCAAAAACGACTCTGGACCCGCCGAGGTCCATTCTTCGCACTCATCATTCACTTCGTTCTGTGACATACTCCAAATCCCTTGCGACTCTCTCGCTCGTGTTGTCCTGTTCTTCTCGTGAGGCAACGCGACGCTATCCGGCGGATTCTGGTCGACCGTCATGCTGTGTGGCAGGACTGACGGGCACCATCACAGTAAGATCGCCGTTAAGTCTTGTGCTTTGAGGTGTGAGAAGGCGCAGTTAGCCAGCTTGGACTGAACTTCTTACAGTTATGCAATCATTTCTTGCTGCAGCACTCCTTCGTCACCGATGATTGTGAGGTTCCTGCCACTGTGCTTAAGTCCCTGGCTCAATCCTATGTCGAACCGAGGGCGATGTTGCGAAAGGAACAACATCAGTCAGAAGAGACTCCTCGAGCCTGATGTAACTTGTCCCCAGGAGTTGACAGCCAACCGGTCAGCGTCATGCCGCTCTCTCGAAGCTTTATCCGTTCTTCTTTGAAATCCCACCCCAGGAATTCGTGCGGTCCGTGATCTATTGGGCTGCTACCAGCGCCTGTTCTCGTTTTATCTCTGATGGTTCATTTCGTTAGTGTCTGACTCGCCATGGGGACGGTCTAAAGCAAAAGCCTGGTTGAATATGCGGTGTGGGAAATAAACTGCCAGTTCTACTGGCTCAGCACCGGACCTGCGTGGGTGAAACTCAACGTAAATCCGATCAAAATTTGATTTCATCCAGACACATATATTTCAGAACTATAGCCAGCGAGTGACGGACAAACGAAGCAGTTGATATCCACCTGTGCTACACCTTCAGTCAAAACCACAGCGACCCCTACGACCACGAAACTCGAAAATCCAACATGGTTGCGCTGTCGGCTTTGACCCATCTAATCACTGCGACAGGCATCTCCTTTACGAGCGCATCTCTACCTTCTCCCGGATCCGCTCAACCCATAGAGAACTCCGCAAACACGCTCTTGTCTCGAAGTATTGTCCCAGAAAGCTGTTATGACACAGTGCCAATCGGCTGGGGTGATTACCTGGTCAACCGAACCATCAATATATGTTACCCATATTTGGAACCCACCTGTGAAAGGATTGGAAAAGCTACACTTGCGAAATGGATGGACTTTTGTGCACAGTGGGATTCGCGAGGTGAAAACCCGGTGAAAACCTGCCAGTGGAAAAAGAACAAACCATACAGCCTTTATGACGACGCCCCTGAGGATGATGATCGTCGCAACATGCCCTATCGAGTGCCTGGCCCCTTGCGATGTTGCCCACCGCCGTACAACGGGGTGGATGCGGGGAAATTCAACATGATGAATGCTCTGTGCAGGATGTGGAGGGTCAAAAATGACGGAGAGTACCGTTATTACTCCCAGAACTTCCCCTTGTACGGGATCTTCGACGAAGACTACAACTACGACAACATGACCATCTGGTCCTACCATCCTCTGTCGCACACTTCCGACCATATCACCCTACTGGATAAAGATGACAGAGATGATCTCAAAACGAATTACTTCCCGATGACCTTGGAAGAACTTATCGACTGGCAGAACGAGGAAGATAAGGATAAAAACAAGCATCATCATCTCTCTCCATTCTACTGAGGGGATGCAGAGGCCGAGATTATGCTCCCTATCAAGTTTTGCCGCCCGTCGCTTGTCAACTACTGCGGAGGAAGCCATCATGCCTTGCCATGCTGGACCATATCCTCGATGTAATGTCTGGTATAACACTGGATATGGTTGGTGGCATATATGTATGCGTAAGGAATACAACGTTACTCCGCTGCTGTCTCATTAACGAATATGAGAACTGCAACTATTAAATCATCGAGAGTGAGATATCAAAGCAACCTCGTGCGTACAACTGTAGATGGATTTTCCTAGCTTCATTCGAGTGAAATATAACTGATCTCAACATGCTCCCTGATTGACCCGTGGGAAAGTAATGTGTCAATCACTCCTTTCCCTCGTAAGCCTCGACCGGCATATAGACCACCTCCACAATATGCCCGTCTGGATCTTCGAAGTTGCGACCATACATCCCAATGCTCTCCTCGGCCTTTTTCTGCTCTTCATTCTTTACTGAAATATCCACATTCACTCCGTGCTCCGCTGCCTTTTTGACCATGTCGTCGACGGCTTCCTTGCTCTCCCGGCTGAAGCACAAGAGCACCTGCGCCGTGTCCTTTGCGTTGGCCAGCGTCCTGTTTCCGGGGAGGAAACTCTTGAAGAAATCGTGCTCGAGCAACATGACCTTGATAGGCGACTCGTTTGGGCTGGCGAAGTGAGTCGGAACTGGAAGGGACATCATGATAGACGAGTCGCTGGAAAAGGTGTGGTTTGGAACAAACCCGAGTGAGGTGTAGAAGGCAATCGATCGGGTCAGGTCGCTGACCGGAATGTTGAGAAAGATAGTCTGCGTGTATGGCATGGCGATGGGTAGGTTTGGTGCTGTGACGTACTGGTCTTAGTGGTCAATGAGGTCTGTGGTATTTAGGTTGTTGATATTGATTGCCTTCATGGTGTTGCCATGCACTTTTATACAGTTCCTGCCTCATCCGGGGTCGGCGCAACCTCATACCGGCGTATTCGCACTGATCCTGGGTTGCGCGCTTCTGCCTGAAGAGGCTTTGTGCATTCACGACATGTGAGCACCTGATCGTTTCCAAATATGTGCTGATGCCCCTGAAACAAGACTTCCAACGTATATACGGCTAATCAGCTCTAAGAAATGGGGCTCTAGCGTAAGGCAGAAGGCGGCTCAATGCTTGGGCCAAGGCAGAGGGGGAATCAGGGTCTTACAGGGATTCTCCTTGGATACCTCGTATAACATGCAAGTAGAAGAACAGAATTTCGAGATCGGATACCTACAGACGAGCCCTTCCCTTCCCTCTGGTAAAACTCGGTGGAAAAGTCCGGTCTTGGAATTGTCAATTCCGAAGTCACTTCATTCAATGCACCGATCGAATCTACAAGTAACATCGAGATGAATCTCGATAATAACGGCTTTGCAGTGTGGGAAATCAAATCTTGGAGCTATTTTTTGTGGATTTGAAGCCAGAGCGGACGCTTCCACCATCAATCTCTATCACATTCCCCGTAATATGATCAGATCCGCGGCTTGAAAGGAATAGGACCAGGCCAGCGAAATCTTCGGGGGTCCCAATTCTTCCAGTGGGTTGGATGCTGAGGAAGAATTCGAGACCCTTCTGAATGCCATAGTTCGACATTCGGGAGGGAAACAGCCCCCTGTATGTCGGTCAGAACCAGTTCTTTCAGACTGTGCATAAAAATCCGTGCAGTCGACTTACGGGCAGATGCAGTTTACTAGGATGTTCTTTGGGGCGAACTGCGACGCTTGCTGTCGTGATAAATGAATGCAAGCTGCTTTGGATGGACCATCTACAAAACGTCAGTTGATAACAAGACAAAAACTATCGGAAAGAGGGGTACGCACAGCTGTAGGGTCCGCTTCCTGCAACTGACAAACCGCCTTCTCCAGTGGAGGTAGGATCAGACGTCGCAATCCCAGCCATAGAGGATAAGTTGATGACTCTAGAAGGCTGCTGTCGCGAGGTGCTCTTTTCGAGAAGTGGTACGAGACTGGTTCAGTTTCAGCATCAGATCTCTCAATCTTCACAGGAAACACCCGTACGCGATGGTCAAGTAGAAGATTGACTTCACGTTCAATGCCATGATTTTGTCCCAACCGTGTTCTGGAAAGTCATCTGCGGGGGCACCCCTATCCCAGGAAGTGAGCATTCATCATCTGCGATTGACTGTGTCAACAGTTGTGGCCGAGGATGAATCGTACCAGGTAGCGCCAGAATTGTTGATCAAGACTGTCAGACGGTCTGTCCGTTTCTTGATTTCTGATGCCAGATGGTCGCAGCCAGCCTTGTCTTTGAGGTCGGCAACTATGTACTCGCATTTTCCGGGACCAAGGCTATTCAGCCTTGAAGCGCACTGTGAATTCGGATCTCAGCTGAGAGCTCGGATAAGGCCCGAAAGAACTTGCTCACCCGTTTCAGTTCGGATTCCTTTCGGCTGGCGATAAAGACTTTGGCGCCATTTTGCACAAAGGCTTGCGCGGCGACCTCGCCGAGACCAGAGGCTCCTCCAGTGATCAGTACAACATGGTGGTCGAATTTGAAGAGGTTTTGTGCTCGAAGATCCGCCTGTAAATCCATGGTGTCCAGTGCCAAGGGCCGCTGTCTGGTTCAGGAGTGATCTGGCTAAGGTGTCGCGTACAAATATTTTCGTCAACTGATTTCGAGACGCGAATGTGTAGAGAGACTTTGGTGCTTTGCTTCGGTATATAAAGAGGGCGCATTCCCGCCTCGGGATGTCGGCTACGGCCAAATGCAGTAGACGGGCGACAAATCCAACCTCGGTCCTAACAACGATAATCGAGGTAATGCTGCTACCCTGTGAGGAAAGTGAGGCGATCCAGTCACTAGTTGGAACTAGGTCCCTTTGATCCAATTTGAACTTACTAAGTACTCCGTACACAAGGTATATATAATACCTACCTAGGCAATTAGGTAAGGCACTCTATGTAAACATAACTTGCTCCCTGGTGGGCTGCTACCTGCACAAGGCTGATGGCTCCGTCCAACAAGCCCTTGGGGAAGAGGGGACCATTAGGGGACCACTGAGGTCTGCTATCTGGACCCCGCTTTCACCAAACTCCACTATCAAAGCCACTACAGTCGTGGGGGAAGGCGGAGAATTAAAGGGTCGAAAGGCGCAGAGTCCGGGTACTTGCGGCGTTTAATCAGTACAATTGAGGGTCATGAACTTCTGGAAAATGGGGTGCTAAGCACATAAAGGCATTGCGTTCCAAATAGACCAAGGAGTCCATACCAATCGACACTCAGATATCCTGAGATTAACAATCTGTTCTGCAATTGGCATACGCGAACAGGGCCTATCGTCTTAGCAGTGACCAATTCTGATCAGTGAACAACATGTCCATCATGCTCAAGCACTCTCTGGTGCCTCCAGAAATCTCGGTCGTCACAGGACTTGAGTATGGCTTTATCCTCCTTCTCCTCACAGTCGCAGGTAAGTAACTTGGCTGCAAGACTCACAATCAATTGGCCGGCTTCGAGTGCTTAATGGTATCACAGGCATCTGTTGGACTTACCGTAACAAGGGCGTCTGGGCATCATCCTCGGCTAATGCAAAATGGATTGCGAGTCCAAAGGGGAAGCCGTTCACAGGAAATCTGAACGATCTCCGAACAAATGGCGCCGCCAGCTGCGAGGCCTGGTACTCTTTGTACAAGCAATACGGACCTGCCTACGAAATGACAGTTCCGTTCTTTCGCATGCATATCATCAACCATCCCACCTATCTCGAACATATTCAGAAGCATAACAGCAAGAACTACATCCGCGGTAAATTTGCCAGGAACATGTTTGGTCCGCTTCATCGAAGTGGGATTTTTGTTGCGGATGGCATGGAATGGCAAACGCAACGCAAAGCTGCCTCTCGTGCATTCAGCAAGCGCAACTTCGAGACACATATCACTCAATCTGTTCATTATTGGCTGGATATCTTTATCCGCCTCCTCTCTAACCTGGCCAAAGAGCAAAGAGAGTTTGACTTCCAGGAACTGATGGGCCGTCTCATGTTCTGCCTCTTTCTGCGAATTGCCTTTCACGAGGATAAGCTCGCTTGGGACATCATGTCTGATGATCCGAAGTGCCTGGAATCAAAACCAGCTTTTGTCGAGGCATTTGATCAAGCTACTCATTGTAAGTATCAATCTGCCTACCATCTTGTGCTTCGCACATGGTAGCTCATTGATTTTCTCTCATAGTATTTGACCGGAGAAGACGAGACCCTCTTTGGAGAATAACCGAGAAGCTCTCTGGAGAAGATGTCATCACCAAAAGAGCTGTGGACCTCTTTTATCAACAGATTGATTTTCTGATCGAGAAGCGTCTCAACCTAATGAAAGATGGCTACAAACCCAACCCAGACGCTGGTGTTGACCTCCTTGACCTATTTTTGCAATCGACAACTGATAAATATACTCTGGGTGGAATGGTATTTTCGTTTCTGTCAGCGGGTCGTAGGTTTGGACCTTGTCATCCTTGATCTACTGATAATCTCATGCAATTATAGGGGATACAACGACCTACAATACCTCTTGGTTCATGAAGGAGATTCACCACCGGCAAAACAAACATCTTAATGCTTTGGAGAAGATCCGTGCTGAGGCAGAGGACCTTGGCTTCACCAGTGGCTATCTCAACTACACGGATGCGCCGGTGAGTCAACATCCTAAAACTAGTCTCAGTCATCATAATACTCCGGCTCACCGTGTATTGCACAGAGATTACGGTTCACGAATGCTATGTGGGACGAATGCACTCGACTCAACACTGTTTCTCCGGCTGGCCAGTTGGAGGCGGCCGAGGATGACATTCTACCAGCGGTCCCTGAGCTTAATATGCCTCCCCGTCGCATTAAGAAGTAAGCTTCGTGCTCCACGGGCGTCTATTGATGGTTTATATTGACCGATCCACGCAGAGGTGATGTTGTCAGCTATCAGAACTATGTTATGGCCCGCATGCCAGAAATCTGGGGAGAGGACGCTGCGGTCTTCAATCCGTACCGGTGGCTCAAGGAGAACGGGGAAAGCATCTCTTACAGTCCATTCAGTAAGTATCGAAACTCACATCCAAGGAGGCAGGAATGTTTCCGATTACTGACTTTGCCGCTTGCAGAATATCACGCTTGGAATGCTGGGCCGCGCAGTTGCCTCGGACGGCCACTGGCTACGTATGAGGGCATCACTATTACAGTGGCAATCCTTCAACGCTTTGACATCATTCTCTCAGACGATAGCAGAATGTATAAACCACTTGCTGCCATGAACATGGTATGTTTTGTCGTTCCCTTCTTTGCCCGCACAACTGAAACCATATAAGATGAATGCTGACATTGGCACTTCCGTAGGGTATCCAAGGGGGTCTTCCAATGCGGGTGAGGGAAAGAAAGCAATCGTGAAGCTGAGAGCCTTTCCTGCCCCGTTGAGCTCTTGATATCACCAAGAGTTTCTCGAAACCATGGAGGGGAGCACTTCTAGAAGATGGTCGAGGGATCTCCATGCAACTTTAGTGGCTTCGCGGTTACAGCATAGTTCCGGCGGCTTTGGATATTGAGAGATTGCCTTGGAGGTAGCGTATATGGACCAAAATAGATTCATCCGGAGGCGGGAGAATAGGAGACAGCATAGACGGGATAGCATGGACCGAAAGAATTGCATGTGGATCAAGTTACGTTTTTCTCTCTAGGGCTTTCACATTCTGATTGTGCGGACAATTCCCATCACCTGGTTCAACCCTATTCTTCAATTGATCGTCTCGGGTATTTGCGGCCATTTCCTCCATCTGACTTCAACCCACTCACACTAGGTAATCTTGGTCATTCGTCCTCGAATCTAGCGGGCCTTGATCTACCGAGCTTCGCCTTCTGTTCACCCGAGGCCTTTACCATGTTTTCTTGTGTGTGGAGGGGTGCGTCCAGTGCCTCCAGATGCCTGCATTGTCCGTTATCCATATCGCTGTCGCACATAATTGGCCAGGCATGTGATCGCAGTTCAGAATGTCTAGCACAGCTAATGCGGTGTCTCTACAACCTGGGCCAGGCCCATCGCCGGACACATCAGGCAATGGCACATCATTCAAACGGGTCTATCAGGCGTGTGAGAGTTGTCGACAGAAGAAACACAAGTGCAGCTTGGGAGATCCAGCAAACCCCAAGCCTCCTTGCAATGCCTGTCGTCGAGCCAGTTTACTGTGTGGTTGGTTCAGGTGATTCTACTACCAAATGCGCATGCTCACGACATCTCAGTTCTCCCGGTGCGAAGACGTAGAGGCCGGCCTCCGAAAAGAGCGAGACATAATGTTGGAAATGGTGATCTGTCTGCAGCAGCGGCGACCACAGACAATTACGGCTTTGATTTGCCATACTCAGTCAGCAAAGAAAGCCAGTCTTCATGGCCGTCACTGATGGGGTCGTTCGAACCCGTGGCGGGAAGCAGAGAAGAAGCCACTACAACGCCCAGTTCTCGAGGGAGTCATGGCCACCGACAGATACCAAGCTATGACCAGCAAATGGCCAGTCAAACACTGGCCACCTTTCCGTTGAGAAACACATCAGATGCAATACGACTTTTGGACCAAGATCGAACATCCTTCGGCTCCGAACAATCTGATAATTTGGATGTGCAGGGCGTCGGCGCTTCCAGGCCACAGTTTTTCCTGCTTCGAGAGGGCTTTATAGACGAGTCAACATTGTTCAGACTGTTCAACTTCTATCTTGGCTCGTTGCATCCCATGATGCCGCTCATTCCTTATGAAAGGAGACCGACAACATCAGAGCAAATCCTCACAATGGCAGCCCGAGAACCACATTTTGTGGCGGCGATTCTTGTAGTGACCACCGGCCTGCTGGGTGAATACACTCTTCATCACCATTTGTGGCAGAGAGTGGAGAGGCTCTTTGCCCAGGTCGCCATCATGGGGACGAATGAATCGCTGGAGATGATCGAAGGATTGTTACTACTTTCGGGTACAACGACCCTGGTTCCCAAATCCATCTCAGCAAGGGACATGCTGAAATATTGTGCAGAATACCCACCAAATATGGGCCACAGCAAAGGACTGGGGTTTGAAGATCGAATGTGTTGGATGACAGTCGGCACTGTGAGTCAAGGCACCCCCTCTTCTAGGTTTCCGATTCTTGCTAGCTCCTTAATCAAGGCCGTCAGGCTAGGTTACCTCCGAGGCCTCGAGCAGCTGGTCATGCAACCGGACGATATTGAGGAGAAATTTGCGGACGACCGCGGTAGAGGGAAGATTGTATGGACGTGTAAGGCAATTCTGCGACTAACCATGAGTGCTCGCCCAGCTAATCAGTCACATCACCTCCAGATTGCTATTGTCTCGATCGACAAATATCAATTCGTGTTGGAAAACCATTTTGGCATCGAAGTCCGTCAAAGCCCCCTGGGAATTCCTCCATTGTCCCACACGTACAGGAAGCTCTGCGAGGACATCTTTTGCTGAAGTGAATACTACGCTACAGGTCCCGGGATGACTATTCAACATCTCCACTTTGATCCTGCCGATGACTTTCCCCAGATGCGCGAAATCGAGGGCGTCCAAGATGACCATGCCGCATACTTGCAGTGTCTCATGCATCTAACACAGGTATTGAGCAACGCTCACGACCTGTTATACCCCTCGAAAAGCCACTCACTCGCCATCGCGAAATCGGAGCATTACTACAAGCACATTGACGAGTTTACAGAAAGTAGGTGAGAGATACTAACTGTGTGGTATTTTACTGCTAATTTAGCCTTGTCTCAGCGCTGTCTGCATTCCGCAACCGATGGCAAAAGAGGCCATGGCGAACATACCCGATCAATGAATGTGTCTGGATATCATTTGTGAGTGCACGACCGTCGACTTCAGATACTCGGATTGGGCTGACAGGGCTGGCGTTTCGCAGCACCATCTACGCCTGTATATCTATTCGTTCTCCTTACAGGCGCATATGCAACGGGCAGACAGCTGTAACGACGGTCGTCGGCCACCTGACTACTTTCCCACAGGACTGATGGGCAGTGTGGACGCCCGCTTTATCGTTGAGGCAATGAATGCAGGGGTGAGATTATCTATCCATCGTGAATTTTCGGTTTGAAGACTCTAAAGATGGCTAATACGATAGATTGACCTCGCAGGCTGATGTGCTACGCTTGGCCATAGGCAGGTTCCAACCATCTGGGGTACGTCAAAGCAGAGTATCCGCGCCATCTGTTCCATGTAATCCCTTCAGCAATCTAAGTCACATCTCAGGCTTTGGCATATCTTCCCTTGCGATTCTTTCACTTCTTCACGCATGCGGGCGTATTCCTCCTCAAGGCAGCGGTGATTGTCCCACTACCACCGTCGCAGAAACGGGCGATCCTTCACCTCATTCGAGGCCTCATCAAATGTATGTCGACGGTCTCGTCAGACCACAGACATCCCGCCATCCGCAATTCGTCTGCCCTTGACGGACTGTTGAAACGTATATACCGCGATCATGACATCCAAACTCCGGTGGTCACCTGTCCGTCCTCACCTGGTGTTGCCCCATCCGGTTCTGCGGCTAGCTCGACAGTTCCTGGTGTAACTACGAAACTACGCCCCAGTGAAACTGACTTGCACGCCTTTCTTGGGAATCGTGAATCTCCGTTTGTTGCAGAGCGGCCATTGCAGGAGCTTGCGGCCGACATCGACGCCAGCTTCGGCCAGGAAACCGACAGCCTGGACATCAGTCTGCCTTTGGGCACCGAAAGTGCCGCCCATGGTCTACCTCCGCTTGTGCCTGCGTCAGATATATTTACGTCGCTCTTCAACTATGACGACAGAGAGTTTTGGGGAGCATTCACTCCAACGACCTTGGATTAAAGTTTGAATAAACACAATGTCTGAATATTACTACTGTAAGACCAGCTGTTATAGGAAGACAAAGCACGAAGAAAGTATCAATTGCTCTCCTGATGCCCTTGTCTCAACTACCCAATCATCAAGTGACCAACGGCACTTGTGCCGTCTGTCTCCGGCTACTTTCGGCCTGTTTTAGCCCATTCAAATCTGACTTGAAATGTCCGATCCACAGTGATGGTGGTAGTGCAGTATATTGACCGCCTTTATCCGATCTTGGCCCTGGAAATACGCCGCATTCTCATGAATATCTCTTTCCTCCAACCAATCGTTCCTGATGGCGAGTTCTATCCCTGCGGGTCAAGTGGTGACTAGCAATTGCTGCGGGGCCCCATGGAGGGATACAAAAGTCTAGGGCTGGTCCATGTCTAGTTTTTTGTTCACCGTCTGCACTCGACCCAGATTGCAAACTGATAGTGACTGCGACCATTCCTGCCGCGCTCACCTAGCCAATCATGTCTCTTGACGACAAAGTGGACATCCAGCATTACGACCAGGAGCTGGCCCTCCAAGACAGCCCCAAGATTATCGAAGCAGACGACCTAGAATATGTCGAAGGCACACCTGAGGAGAAGAAGCTACTCAGGAAGATCGACCTGCGGTTGATCCCAATCCTATGGGCCATGTATATCTTCAATTACCTCGACCGAACCAACATTGGCGTAAGTCAAGGAGCTGTGCAATGCAATATACCTGTGGCTTGTGACTGACCTCCTGATGCAGAATGCTAAAGTCGGTGGGATGGAAGAGGACCTCAGCCTGAGCTCCTCGGACTACTCTCTAGTTCTCTCCATCTTCTTTGTTGTAAGTCACCCTCAGCGAACAGACTCATCAGCAAGCTTTCTAACCCCTTCTCAGGCCTATTTGTTGTTCGAACCTCCTGCCGTGATGATTTTGGCTAGAACGAAGCCAAGTATCTTTTTGCCGTCCATCATGATTGCGTGGGTCAGTACATCAGGATCAAAATCTCGACTTCGTCAAAGAGTAACTCGCATCTAGGGCGCTGTTTCGGTCGCCATAAAGGGTATCGACAGCCTTGGAGGTTTGGTGGCCTTTCGCATTGCCCTTGGCTTACTCGAGGCCGGTTTCTTTCCTGGTGTGATGCTTGTCCTGTCCTGTTGGTATAAGGTTCGCTATTCCTGCTAATTGAGCTTGCTTGCCTCCTTGCTGATGCATACTAGCCATCGGAGCTGTCTAAACGCATTGCGATTTTTTATACTGGCACTATATTGGCTGGTGCTTTTGGTGGCCTCCTTGCTGGCGGCATTATTGACGGAATGGAAGGTGTTGGAGGTGTACGCGGATGGAAATGGTGGGATATCCATTACACCTAAAGTGTCGACAACCACTTGCTTACTTGGATCTAGGCTGTTCATTGTCGAGGGTCTGGGCACGGTCGCTATTGGCCTCATTGCATTCTTCCTTCTTCCAGGTATGCTGCTGAGAAGGGATTGATATTGGGGACTAACAAAGCATAGATTATCCCACCAACACCAAGTGGCTTTCTGCGCAGGAGAGGAAGCTAGCTACCACTCGCTTGATCATTCGAGAGGATCTGGACAGCAAGATGCCCTACAAGAAGGCCTTGATCTTGTCCATTAAGGATTGGAAGATGTGGGTGAGTAGTCATGGTAATCCAAGCATTCGAAAACGAGGTTGCTAACTGTCAATAGCTATTCATGGTCTCGCTCAACACCATCTTAGCTTCTGGGACGGTGTCGTACTTCTTCCCGACCCTGATGGGAGCATTGGGCTACAAGGGTCGAATGGTACAATGTAAGTCCACTCATCCTGGGCATCAAGTACATCATCTCACCCTCGTGCAGTCATGACCGTCCCAATCTACGCTGTCACCTTAGTTGTCACCGTGGCCACGGGGTTTTCGGCCGACCACACTAGACAGAAGGCATACCATGTTGTTGGTTGCTCCGTGCTTGCAATTGTCTCGTTCATCATCTGCGCGGCGAGCACTCATTTCTCCGTCCGATATGCCTTCATCTGCTTTGGATTTGCTGGGGTACAGGCGTGCGTACCCTTGTTGATCAGTTGGGAAGTCACCATGTTTCCTGGGCGTGAACGTCGTGCTGTCTCAGTCCCTATTATCAATGGGTTTGGTAAGTGTCGCTATTCCTTCCGCACCAATGTTGTTGCTCTGACGCTCAGTAGGTAACCTGGCTTCTGTCTATGGTTCCTTCATCTGGCCTGCAGAAGATGCCCCTCGATACATTATGGGTTTTGCGGTCATGACCAGCTTTATGTTTATTGCAGGTGCTGTTGCTTTCGTGATCAAGAAGATCTGGGATGACAAAGGTCTGGAGAGAATCGATTATGATGCTCAGGATAATGATCAGAAATAAATACTGAGAAGAAACTACTTTTGCAGTTGAGAGGAACCGCTGGCACGAACAGCTAAGCATATTTTAGGAATCTATACCAAAGCCAGAGGTTCCAGGGGCTCTATGTTTATTGGGTCAAGACTATTGCATTCAATCAATACTGACAACAATGTCCCGGGCATGATGCGAGAGCCGATGGCAACATATGGTAGGAATCAGTCAATTTGCCCAGCAAGCGGCTGTCAGGCACTATAACGGAATTGCTCAACCTCAAATGGTCTCGGCATCGACTATCCGAGTTTTTATAGTCTAGGTTCAGGATAAACACTTTCCTCGTTGGGTGTGGGAAAGCTAATCTCGCATCGGCTAATAGTGTAAATGTACCCCCCCTGGAAAAAAAGCATTGCGCCATTAGCATACGAGTGGGTACTAGTTTTGTACCCGCCTAATTCATACACTTCACTTCATCGGGTTGAGCTGTCTCGCATGATTGCCTACTTTGTTCAAGCTTGGATTCAGATACTTTTCCACCCTCATCGAAGCGCTTCATCTAAGCACTTACTCCTACAGTAGTGACAATGCGACAAGAAGACATCCCCTTGCACGACCGGCGGATTTTCTCCTCATCAGCCTTCATATATAGAGGCAAGAAGGTGGATGGTTGCGAAACCAGTGTCCCCTTTCGTTGTCTCAGGGGAAAATCTCCTCCGTCCGCTCTTTAGAATCATTGTGATAATTTTTCTAATTCGCAGTCATGCATTTACACTCGCTTGTCCAACAGTTTTCCCTTCTATTCACCCTCATTGCGGTCGTCGTTGCTGCACCGGGAAGAGGAGGAGGTTTCCCACCACGCATCCCTACTAAATGCTTCACCTCGATTGTCAATCGGCCGACAAGAGGCCCACGAACCCAATGGTCGACCATGACTACACTCTGTACTTCGACTAATGCAATCACCAGCACTGTCACCCCAAGCACAACCTCGACCATCACGGACACTACCACTGTCACATCCACAGCTGCGACGTCGACCATGACTGCAACTACAGTATCGACTGAAGTCTTGACGGAAACCTCTGTCGTCACCACAGTATCAACAACAACCACGACTACCACTACATCCACTGACTCCACGAGCGTGGTTCCTACCGCCTCTGGTTTCGTGCCTGTAGCCTCCTCCGTTCCTGGCGCATCCTTTGACCTAGACGGACCTGTCAAGAGAGGAGTCGAGGCCGATGAGAACGAGAAGAGAGGTTTCTCTTTGTCGAAAGGAAACTTTAACATTACTCAATTTACCCGTGGCGGCCGTGGCGATGTCTCGTGCATAGAATATCACAGCCGGTGCTCAACCACCACAAGCACAGTGACGAAAACAGCACCCACAACAACATTCAGCACCACCGTCACCAGTACATCAACTATTACAACAACACCAGGTGAGAGCTAACTCGAGGGGCAGGGTGTACGTGGACTAACCCTTTTCTTTTTCAGGAGCAACCACTACAGTAACAGACATCGTTACCTCAGTAACGACGACCATTATAACCACGACTTCGATTACCACCACCAGCACTGTGGCCACCTCCTTCACATCAACCGTCACATCCTATGCGGCCTGCGTAAGTGCCCGGTTGATGGTCCCATGGAATATATAAGAAATATTGCTAATGGTCTCTTCAGGCGACCAATAACCAGGCCAATTTTGTGAATGGAAACGCAGTCAGCGGTTTCGGGGGTAACGGGGATCCCCTCAGCGTTGATGCCGACTCCGAGACCGAATGCTGTGTTGCGGCGATCAACCAACCCAATGTTGCACTATGGGCTTGGATCTTTGAGAGTGAATCGTGTTTGGTATCAGTCGCAACAACATGCCCGTTGCCCGCAGGGAACCAAATCGAAACGACCAGCGATCCTACGGCTAACCCACAATATGGTGTGGGAAATGCTAACTGTGGAACTTGGGACAGCGTCGTGGTCCAGTAGATACTCTTTAGGCGATTGATAGTTTCTATAGCGATATGCTTTCGCCTTCGCCCGAGGCACGTCTTTTCCTTTAGCTGAGTTCGCGTTGAGGGAGACCTACTTCGATCAATCGATTTGGCGATAATTCCCGATTTCGACACAATTTCCGCCACAGCCTGTGTGTCCAGTCAGTCAGGCTCAAGGGAGGTCCCTGTTCATGACCAGGAAATGCACAGCAATTTCAATTCTACTCTTTCTCTAGTGGATGTCTATCACTACATATCCGCCGACAGCAATTCTTCAACTCGACCTGGAACCTCTGGTCTTCTCAAATCTTCGCGCGTCTTCTTCCCTTGATAAATGTCGGCACCCGCTCTGGTAACACTTCAATCATCTGCTCCAGCCATTTCCTTGTCGTAGCTGGATCGATCACACTATCAATCTCAGCCGCCATAGCCATATTGATCGCCTTCCCTTCGCTGTACATGACGTCGATCATGTCCTGCTCCTCTTTCTTCCTCTTTTCAAGATCTTTGATAGCTTCCAATTCTTTCTTGTATGCAAGCCTTACTGCGCCTTCGATGCCCATACCTCCAAAGACGGCATTTGGCCACGCCACGCACATGCTGTTGTTCAAACTTCCACCACCGAGCATCGCTTGTGCGC